CATCTGTCGTGTAGAAATATGACCTGATAGATAGTCGCACTTCCCGAAGGCTGGTCAACTTAGCAGGACCTGAGCAGATGTACGTAAACACCCTACTAACTTCCTGGAGTCCTGGAGTCAGCCTGCTAGTAAAGGGGTCGAATTATTAAGAATCGTAGCAAGTTACTTGACCTCTGCGCACCCACGTCTTATCAGGAATCGTAGATACTCTACTTTGGTCTGTGAATTTTCTCTTTTTGTCACCCTTTACGACAACAACGACCTACAGAGGTGGTATTCTTATCCCGCCAGCACACGGGGAGTTTTGCACATAGTATTCAGAGTTTTTTTGAAAGAACTTTTCATATAATAATAGAATGTGTTCGAAGTAAAGAAAGTTCATGTTATTTGCAAAGACTGAAAATAAAACAATTGTTTAGCAGTAGACAACTGTCTTCATTATCTAAAGAAAGAGTTAATTTCTTAGATGACTATGAAGTAAAACTAATGTTTGACTAATATTTTATTACTCGTATATATATTGTTATTGTAAACGAATTATTTTAAATTAGAAAAATTGAAAATTTATTTGGTTGAGTTGATTTAAAAAATTGCATTATTAATAATTTCAAATATAATCAGTACAATTGGGATGTTTCCTCTTTTTTATTTTGAAATTTATATTACATTCTAACAGTGGAATGTGCGCTGTTTTTTACTCCACAAATCAAATCTGAATTCTAATTAACGAATTTTAATATTAAATCAAATAAAAAAGTGCAATCCGCAAATGAAACCGCATGCAACCGCAATAAATCAAACTAAATGAAATATTCATATTATGGCAGATATGAACATTAATTAGTTATTGTTGTTTCGACATCCAACATGAATTTAATAGGCATAAATGCAGATCCAGTCAGCCAAACAGGCAGACAAGCCAGCAGGCAGTAGAAAAAATGCATATATTTTTTTTTTTTGCCGAAAAGTCGTAAATGACTTTTGGCTGAAAATGTTTCAAATTTTATGCAGAAAACTGCGTTGGTCCTGTTTTCGAAATGCATTCGATTAAAATTGCACATACATTTTTTCCGTCCCGCCAGCAACTGTTGCTGTTACATACCAGATCAAACTTTAAACAAACTATGCAGAAAGTGTTTGAGGGAAGCAATTTAAATAAAAAATAAATAAATAAACACACAAACAAAAAATGGAAGCGAAGACCCTAGCGCTTGACATCAGTTCCGCTTGAAGTACTCCACATGAAGGCGAGATCAAGTACGAGTATCTATAAGCGGAGAATATACAATATTTAGTAGTAATGTGTGCATGTTTGCTATTTAGTTTCATAGATGTTTGTGTTTGTATGTGTGTGTGTGTGTGTGTTTAGTGCACATATAGAAGTTAACGGAGAAACGTGTTGCAAACTATTTCTGTCGTTTGTATGTGACAGCAGTAACGCCAAGGAACAACTTCAACTTCACTTGTACAACAGGCAATAAACTAGAAACGCATCACATAGCAATAAGAAAACGAAAGGATTTTAACTACTTTGCTACTCGTAGTAAGCAACACCAAAACAACAATATCAACAACAACAGCAACAACAACAACAGCAACAACAACAACAGCAACAGCAACATTAACAACACCAATAACAATCACTCGCGCAGATTCCGGTCCATAGATATGATGCACTATGGTACGAGTATGTAATTGTACGCACGTAAGCAAGGACGACTACTCTCCTTCGCATCCCGTGCGAACGTTCACATGCTTAAGAAGACAATTTGCTGACACCGATGGCTTGGTTGGATACGTTTTAAGTTTGTTTTGCCGTAGTTGCATTACCCACTCTATATCGCATACACAGTGGGCGATTGTTGAAATGGGCGTGGTATGGGTAACGCGTGATACTGTGTAAATCTTGCAAAATAAGCGATATCATGCCTTGCGATACTTTAACTTATTTTGTTGTGTCTTTGTGCAGCGTGCCATTTCGAGCTCACACATAGCGCAAATATCCTTTTGGCATAAAATTTATTTTTATTTATTATTTTCTCTTGTTTTTTTTACTGGGTAAAGTTTATGTGCGCTCATGTCGCATATGCTCCAGTTCAGTTGCTGATTATGCTCCTCGCTGTTGGGTAATTTTTTTGTCTGTTTATAGTTTTTGTGGATGATTTTCATGCGGTCTTTGGACTGGAATTATAGTCATTGGCAGTACGACAGGCTCCAGTACCGATGTGTCAAATGCGTTATGACGAACTTTTAATAAGTGCCCCGAAGTTATAAATTTGTACACAAACTCATAAAGCATAAAAGCTGCAGATACTCACATGCTCACATGTTTTTGCATAGTAAAAACGAGCAGTTTTCATTCAATTTATTATACATTTAAATAAATACAGGGTGTCTCACCATGAAATTTAAAGTCATTGACAATCGCAATGCTTTAGGCTTGTGTGAATATTATAATTTATACGTAATATTGCCTAATGCAATATCTGAAGGCAATGATTTTATTCTACATATATTTATCATGCGAATTTCGATTATTTATACGCAAAACATTAGCAGCATTTTTGTTATTTAAAATATATATACAAACAATATATTGTGTTTCTTCCTTAACATTACAGATCAGTGTTTCACATAGACATGCGATCCATTAATGTTGATTTGTGTGGATGTATCTACAATAATGCACAGTCATTTTGTTAAGGGCACATTATCGCCGGGTCTCTCCATTTAAGAATCTGTGGTGTTGCATATGTTTACAAGACTTTTTTACGTATTTTATAGGAAAGAGTTTAAAATTTTGTGGGATTATTTCAGCTCCATTGTTCAGTTCAACAATATATTACATCGATGAGATTGTGAAATTCATTCGTTAGTTTAATGTATTTATTTTTGTTTTTAATTTAAGTTATTCAATAGATAGATTTGGAAAAGCGCACTACAACAACATATATTCTTTTTATATTATTTCTAATTATTTCTAATAATATTATTTTAATTAAATTCTTGTTAAAATAAAGTCAAAAATAATTGGGAAATCTTTTTAAAATCAGTACCTACGGAAGGACAAAATTTAAAAGAATTGAAGTTATCCTCATTTAATACCAACATCTTAAAGATATTCTTTAAGTCATATTGTAATTTAGTTTTTGTGGATTCTCTGAGAATGCTAGTTAAGTTTAAGATACTTAATAGTTTAAATAACTAATGCCAAAAAATACTTATCATCAGTGAGTGGTCTTCGGCCTGGCACTTCTACAAGAACATGACAAAGGACAATTGATGCCGAAGATCAGCGCGCTAGTCATGGAACAATATATACTCCACTGGGAGTTAATGGAACTGAGCTGAAGGAAGGAAATGGAAGGAAATGGAGCTGAAGAAGACGGGTAAATAAAAGTAAATATCGGAAAATTATTTTTGCACTGACTTTTCACTTTATCCATAGAGCCTCCATTAACAAAAATGCGAAAATTTAACAAACAATATATTTTGTTGTTATACAAAAATTTGGCAATTGCAAGGCGAGCAAGTTAGATGGAGACACATCAGAAAAACTTAAATCTGATCGTTCAGTTTATAATGACAACTATAAGCTAATATAGCTTATATAATATATAATATAGCTAATATAGCTTATAGTTGGACAGTTTAACAATTGATCGAGCTTCACTTCTGAAAAATATGTGTGGAAAATATTATACGAAAAGGTCAAAAACTATGGGAATAGCTTGTACTAAAATAGATAGACACTGTTGAATTAACTTAATTTATTAAACTAATTAATAATACACATATGTGGTAATATTGTTGTTTTAATATTGTTATAATATTAAATTATTACACTTAAAGTATTGTTATAATTAAAAGTTATTTAAATAGTTTCGCACTTTATGACTTCGTTTCATCATTAAACAAACACGTCTTCTGTATTGCTCGTTTCGCATACAACTCCCTATTCAATCTTGATCATCTGTTTTCTCAAGAGTAGACGCGGAGTTGCATTTTAAGTGTTCTTATCCGAGATATACATGATTTATGATGTCTTCTGGTGTTTCTTTCAATGCATAACAAAAATCTTGACAACGTTTTTTTTTGGGTAATAGGTATAAAAAGCCAGCGATATAATTTAGATCATCCGGCACATGCGGATCTCATTTTCATAGTGTGTTTCCTAATGCGAGACTGCTTGGAGATTCAATATTTCATTTAATGGTTCTTGCTGTTAAAAGGCTTCACAAGTATTTTATATTTATTTTGACATTCTGCAATATCAAAGGATATATACTTTTTTATCTTTCTTGTTATCAGTTGATGAATCTCTCGTTAGAAAACGTTTAAATATATCGCTGCTTAGTAAATTTTTCTGATCACGTTGGTAAGCCTAACCTAACCTTATCTTATTAACAACCCTGTATTTCGCTTTGGGAAAGCATAAAAAAATTCATATTGTAAAAGTTTGTGTCAGGAGTGTGTCTGTTTTTTGGCTGAAATGTTTGCATTTGTAAACATTTTATTACAATTTTCAGCTGCTTTTTATTTTTATTGAAATTGTTGCAACTAAAAGTACTAAAAGTGCTGACAGTAAACAGTGTTTTTGCTGCTGTCTGCGCAACGTTTGTGTTGTTGCTGTAAATTTTTGGCAATTCATTTAATATGTTCAGCCTAATTAAGTGACTGTAATAAATTTAATAAGCAATAACTGCTCGCGGTTGCAAGTGAATTCACACAAACACACACACACACGATCACATATATACATACATAAACAAATATACTTAACAAAACTAT